TGTTGTTGTTGTTGTGTTCGATGGGAGCTGGATCTTAAGATGTACCTGCGTCTCTGTTGTAGCTTCCTCTTGTTCATGGTAGCCTTAGATTATAAAACTTTGTTTATGTACTTTTCAAATAGAAGATGTATTTACTTTATATCAGCTTTGTAAATTCTATTCTTAGAAGCTCATGATTTGTATTACCAGTTCTTGGGAAATGTATAAGTTTCAGATAATTTCTTCCATTTAATTATTTTATTAATTTTATTGAAAATGGATAATTGTTAATTGGATTACCCAGCGGGTCGGGTTAGGTGCCATCACGATGTGTCGGATTTTGGGTCATGACAGATTTGAGGCTCGACTAAGTCCGTATGATGTTTTAGGACTGGTTGGTATATTTGGTTGAGGTCTGGGGGCCCTCGGGAGGACTTCGGGTGGTTAACGGGCAAAAATTGGACTTGTGAAAGTTGCAGATTTTCTAGTGTTTCCAGTTACTGGTTTCCTTCTTCGCATTCGCGAGGGGAGTCCCGCGTTCGCGAAGAGGAGCTGGAGGCAGGAGGAGAATTTTTCTTCACGTTCGCGAAGTGGGGGCCACGTTCGCGAAGGTTTGTTCAGCAGTGCATCGCGAACACGTGAAGGGCATCGCGTTCGCGTAGAGGAAGTAGAGCAGTTGGGTCCCCAAGCTTTGTTCTACGCGTTCGCGAAGAAGCAGGCTATGAAAGCTACGCGTTCGCGAGAGATCACTCGCATTTGCGAAGGAGGGATTTTTGGTCAGTGATTAATTGTTCAACGCAAACGCGAGGGTGTGGCCGCGTTCGCGAAGAAGGAAATACCTGGCAGTCTATAACATTTCAAAAACGAGGGTTTAGCCATTTTAAACATAACTTGAGATAGGGAGCTCGGATTTGGATGAAATTTTGGGGGATTTTCAGAGAAAGCTATTGGGTAATGATTCTTGACTCATTTATGATTTTATTCCATTAATCTATAATTGATTCCATCTTTTAATTTCGGATTTAGATTGAAAAATTTGGAAAAAATGGGAGACGTTCTTCAACTAAGTTTTTGAGTTTTGATTGGGATTTTGATATCGGATTTGGATAATTTTGGTACGAGTGAACTCGTGAGTGAATGGGTGTTCGTATTTTGTGACTTTTAGTCGATTTCGAGATGTGGGCCCGGGTCAACTTTTGGGGCGATTTTTTTAATTTCTTGCTTAAGCTTTGATTTCATTAATTAGATTAGTTTCTTATAGTTATATTTATGGTATGTAATTTCTTTTGGCTAGATTTGGGCCATTCGGAGTCGAAAAATTGTGGAAAGGAATTGTTACAGATTGATTGAGCTTGGTTCGAGGTAAGTAACTTGCCTAACCTTGTGTGGAGGAAATCCCCTTAGGATTTGGTACTGTTTTGATATGTGAGCGTCGTGTACATGAGGTGACGAGTGCGTACACGGGCTATTTGTTGTAAAATCTAATTTTTACTGACTAGTAACCTGCTTTCATCTTAATATAGTTATACCATCATATGTAGTTATCATGTTTAGCTTAATATCGCATGTCTACGTGCTTTAACTGCTTATTTGAACTCTGTGCAGCATGCCTAGTTGATTTCCTCTTTTTCCTTGATCTGTATCAGTCTTAACTGTAGAATTCTTGCTGTTAATTATTGTAATTATCGGTTTGAGTTGTGTGCTTACTTTTGGGACTACGAGGTGGTACCTCGGGAGTTCCCCCTGCACATTTACTTTGAGACTATGAGGCGGTACCTCGGGAGATCTCCTTGCACATTTACTTTGAGACTACGAGGCGGTACCTCGGGAGATCTCCTTGTTATTTACTTTGGGACTACGAGACGGCATTTCGGGAGATCTCCTGTTGTTTTACCCCTGTGTGTTGTACTTTTATTTTTCTATGATTTCCTCCATGTTAAATTCCAGTCTTCATTACTCTGCAATATTTTCCTGCCTTATTTATTATATATACCAGTAGGGCCCTGAGCTGACCTCGTCACTATTCGACCGAGGTTAAGCTTGGTGCTTACTGGGTACCGTTGTGGTGTACTCATGCTACCTTCTGCAGATGTTTATGTGCAGATTCAAGTACTTCTTATCAGTTACGTCATCAGTGAGCAGAGATAGTTTGGAAACTTCAAGGTATATTTGTTGCGTCCGCATACCTCGGAGTCCCCCTCTATTCCCTCCTATGTCATTTACCTTTCCATATTTTCTTAGACTCTGGTGTATAGAGGTGCTAGTTTCTTCCATAGCTTGTGACTTATAATTTTTCAAGTTTTGGGAATACTGTGTATATTCGAGAGTTGGTTATTGTACATGCCGAGCGGCATTTATATCAGTTATTTAATTATCTATTTTAGTTAGTTCTTAAATTTATGCTTTCATTTTCATTATTCCAAAATTGCTAGGCTTACCTAGTCGTAGAGACTAGGTGCCGTCACGACATCTTACGGAGGGAGATTTGGGTCGTGACAAGTTGGTATCAGAGCTCTAGGTTCATAAGTGTCATGAGTCACAAGCAGGTTTATTAGAGTCTCACGGATCGGTACGGAGACGTTTGTACTTTTCTTCGAGAGGCTATGGAACTGTTAGTAAAATTTCACTTCTTTTGATTCTTTGTCATGCAAAATTGTTGACTTCGAAATTCTAAATTTGTGTCTTCTACTCTCTCACAAATGGTAAGGACACGTACAGCCGGATCCGATGACCAGGCACCCACGCCCCCTGCTAGAGCTGCGAGAGGCCGGGGCCAGGGTAAAGGCCGAGGACGTCCACATAGGGCAAACTGAAACTAACGAAGTAGATGTTATAGTGCATGAAGGGTACGTATAGTCAGCCACATAGGGCAAACTGAACAATCTTCAACATGACTAATTATACTATATATATATATATATATATATATATATATATATTAAATCCTAAATATCCTTCACGAAATGCTCGGTTCACCAGTGTAGTCATCTGCTGTTATGTAGGATACTTATGTATTGGAAAAAATTAAATTAATATATCGAATTAATTATGGGGTGACATGTCGTGACACGTGGATTGATAAAGGAATGCCAACTGGAGAAGAGTAGATGAAGCTGCACGAGCTTTAGCAGGCATGGGCAAAAATCCAAGAAAGCCAAAAGGAATAGGTGCTCGAACCTCTTGATATTCTGAGGAGGCATCAGAAGAATGAACTTAAATAGCAAAAAGGGTATAGATACGTATTATTGGAAATTAATAGGCATTAATTACAGAAAACGTTAAAGAATCTGTACTAAATCAGTTACGATTACCAATTATAACGTTACATTAAATGCCATTGATTGTCCATAAAAACTCCATTATGAGAGGAGAAAAATGTATTACTTAGAAATAGCTATAAAAGGTGAGGAATGAATTTTTTGTAAAGACACGAAATACTATTGTAATATATTGATTTACTTTGCTTTCTATTCAGCTATTATTTACATCAATTATTCCTATTTCTACTTGATTATCAGTAAAAGGAGTTCTTCTAAAATAAAGCTTTGACCGAAATCCCAATTTTTGGTTAAACAAATTGGTTCCGTTACCGGGAATCTGATAATCTATTCCTTCCTAAATTAACCTTTTTGTCAAATCAATCATGTCAAATGTTAATGACAACAATCAAAGAGACCGTCAACTCCAGGAGAATCTACAAGGTGATGGAACCCCGATCCCTTCCCCACAAAGTTCTCCTCGACAATCTCGAGAAGGAACTCCTGATGGATCTCAATCAAATGCAAATGATCAATTGGAAAATGATGAGGCTATCAACGAAGCTTTTGCAAAAGTTAATCGCTCAACAGGTCAGCAAAGCTCTTGAGGCTTCCACTAACCAGCTACCAGTTGTGCCACCAACATCAACTCCAAACAACAACACCTTAGAAAATCCTCGCTCAGGACTCGTTAACTCAAGCAGCGGGGGAACTCCTAGTGAATCTCGTGATGAAGGGTCAGGTAACCCAATTAATTCTGATTTATAAAATTTAGTACTAACTTTGCAGAAACAACTCAAGGAACAAAGCGATCGCATAGAGCAAATACCTGGAGTACCGCCGGTAATCAAAGGTATAGATATGGACAAATACTCACAACAACCTTGGAAGCCAAGTGCTGCTCCTTTACCAATTCCGAAGAAATTTAAGATGCCCAATATCCCAAAATACGATGGTACCACCGATCCACGAGATCAGTAACTGCTTTCACAACCGGTGTAAAAGGCAACGACTTGACCAAGCAGGAAATTGAATCAGTTTTGGTCAAAAGTTCGGAGAAACACTCATTAAGGGAGCATTAACATGGTACTCTCTTTTACCTGAAAATTCTATAGATTCTTTTGCTGAACTTGCAGATTCATTCATCAAAGCACACTCGGGAGCTCAAAAAGTTGAGAAAAGAATGGAGGACATCTTTAAAATAAAGCAAGGAGATACGGAGCTGCTCAGGGAATTCGTAGACAGGTTCCAGCGTGAAAGGATGATGTTGCCACGTGTACCTGATAACTGGGCAGCGATGGCATTCGCTAGCAATCTAAACGAAAAGAGTTCAGAAGCCACGAGGAGACTCAAGGAAAGCCTACGTGAATTTCCAGCTACAACTTGGAATGATGTTTATAACAGATACAGCACGAAGCTGCGGATAGAAGAGCATACCATCATTCAATATCAAAGGGATGAAAAGATAAGTTCAAGGCGAGTTGAAACTGAAAAAGGGTCCGGTAAAAACAAGTACGAACCTTACATGGGACCGGCAGTAAGAGACTCACGATCAAAACAGGATAACTTCAGGTATGATCATAGATCAAGAGATAGGGAGTCGGGTTCATCATCAAGGTTCGGGAAAGAACAAAACGCACGAGAAACGCGTGGTGATGACAGAAGCTCTAAGGCGAAGATCGGCGGTTACAGTTTTAATGTAAGCACGTCCGAATTGGTGGCTGTTTTGAGGAGCATGGCGACAAGGTACGCTGGCCAAAAGAAATGAGATCAAATCCAAACAGGCGAAATCCTGATTATTGGTGCGAGTTTCACCATGATCACGGTCACAAAACGGCGGATTGTAGATTGCTGCAGGGTGAAGTTGAACATTTATTGAAGCAAGGGTATCTAACTGAATTATTTAGTGAAAAAGGAAAGCAGGCATATATGAAAAATAGACAGGAGACGCCAAAACCCCCTTCACCAAAAAGGATTGTTAATGTCATAAGTGGGGGAGAAGAAATCAATGGAGTAACAACAGCCAAGAAAGTTTCAAAAATTACAATCGCATATGGGAAGCGAGTTCGACGTGTTTTGGAAGAAGAAAGTATTACATTTGATGATGCAGATGCAGATGGCGTACTAACCCCACACAATGACGCACTGGTAATATCTTTACTTGTACATGACACTCATGTGAAACGAGTTTTGATTGATCCAGGTAACTCTGTGAATATCATTCTTTTAAGAGTGGTAAACAAAATGCAAACTGAAGATAAGTTGATACCCAAGGCGCACACCTTATCTGGTTTTGACAACTCAAGTGTTGTAACAAAAGAGGAGATAATACTCACCACATTCGCAGAAGGAGTTGTCAAGGATACGAAATTTCAGGTGGTTGAGATGGACATGGCTTACAATATGATTCTCGAAAGACCATGGATTCACGAAATGGATGTTGTGCCATCTACCCTGCACCAAGTTATTAAATTCCCTTTACAATGGGGAATACGACAAATTTGCGGTGACCAGCAAGCGTCTAGGAGCATCAATTCCGTAGCAGATTCAAGCGCAAAAAATGATGAAAAATAGCAATTACAGAATTCAGTTGAGGATGATGCAACACAAATCTTAACCGAACACGGGAAAACAGATGTAGACTCAAGGCCCGATACCATCCAAGAGCCAGAGGAAAACGAAAACATCAAAACAACGATTGAAGATTGGAAGCCGTAGTGCTATTCGCATCCTCGCTTGAAAGGAAAGTCTATCTTGGGGCTAACCTCAGCCAGGAAATGAAAGGTAAGTTAACTGAATTTTTGAAAGCTAACATGGATTATTTTGCCTGTTCCCATTCTGATATGACAGGGATACCTCCGGAAGTGATGACCCACAAGTTAAATGAAGATCCATCATATCCACCTGTCAAACAAAAGAAGAGAAAGCAAGGATCTTTCAAAAATCAGGTGATTCAAGATGAGGTACAAAAACTTTTAAAAATTGGGTCCATCCGCGAGGTAAAATATCCGAATTGGTTAGCTAATACTGTAGTGGTACCTAAAAAGAATGGTAAGTGGCGAGTTTGTGTAGATTATACTGACCTAAAGAAAGCCTGCCCTAAAGATTCTTTTCCATTACCGCATATAGATCAACTAATTGATGCCACTGCAGGACATGAATTGTTAAGTTTTTTAGATGCATATTCAGGGTATAATCAAATCAAAATGGATCCCATAGATGAAGAAAACACTTCATTTATAACAGACAAGGGGACTTACTGTTACAAAGTAATGCCATTTGGTCTCAAGAACGCTGGAGCCACATACCAAAGATTGGTGACTAAAATGTTTCAAGAACATTTAGGGAAAAACATGGAAGTTTACATAGATGATATGCTGGTCAAGTCACAACAAGTAGGGGGTTATATCCAGCACTTGTCTGAAACATTTCAGATTCTCCGTAAATTTAACATGAAGCTAAACCCCGAAAAGTGTGCATTTGGAGTTTCGTCAGGTAAGTTCTTGGGATTTCTTATTTCTAACCGTGGCATTAAAGTAAATCCCGCGCAGATTAAAGCTATTGAGGAAATTCCTGATATACTTACAAGTAAAAAATAAGTACAGAGACTGACGGGGAGAATAGCAGCCTTGGGAAGATTTATTTCCAAATCATCAGAAAAATGCTTCAAGTTCTTTGCAACTCTAAAAAAGCAGGATCAGTTGGAATGGTCTGAGGAATGTCAGAAAGCGCTTAAAAATTTGAAAATATACTTGTCAAATCCACCATTGCTCGCAAAGCCAAAAGACGGGGAGAGACTACTCATCTACCTTGCTGTTTCAGAAGTAGCGGTAAGTGCTGTTTTAGTTCGAGAAGACCAAGGTAAACAGTCTCCAATTTACTATGTTAGCAAGTCATTATTAGATGCTGAGACTCGATATCCTCATCTAGAAAAACTTGCACTTGCATTAATCATAGCATCTAGGAAATTAAGACCTTATTTTCAATGCCATCCCATCTCTGTAGTAACTACTTACCCCCTACGTAATATACTACATAAACAAGAGCTATCAGGTAGATTAGCAAAGTGGGCCATAGAACTAATTGAATATGACATTACATATCAACCTAGAACAGCAATAAAGCCGTAGGTGTTAGCAGATTTTATGGCAGATTTTAGCCAAAAGATGCAACTAGAAGCAGAAAAAGAACTACAGGTATTCAATGGGTCTAATCTAGGAACTTGGACTCTATTTACTGATGGTTCTTCAAATGTAAAAGGGGAAAGTCTAGGTATTGTTTTGGTACCACTACGGGAGAAACCATACGACAAGCTATACATATGAAGCTGTGATTGCAGGTTTAGAACTGGCATGCGAGCTTAGCATAGAACAGGTCGTAATCAAAAGCGATTCACAGCTCGTAGTTAATCAAATGCTGGGGACTTACACAGCCAGAGAGGCAAGAATGCAACAATACCTGGAAAAGGCACGAGATCTGGTTAGGCAATTTCAAACCTGGAAGGTCGTGCAGGTACCATGGGAAGAGAATGTCGAAGTAGATGACCTAGCTAATCTTGCATCTGCTGCAGAAGTAACAAATGATGAAAATGCTTCTGTAATTCATTTATTTCATTCAGTACTTGAGCAAGACAAAAACGAGGTAAATTTCAATAATTTAACTTGGGATTGGAGGAACGAGATTGTCACTTTTTTGCAGTATGGAATATTGCCTGAAGATAAGAAGAAGGCTCAAGCGCTTCGCAAAAAAGCTGCTCGATACTGTCTAAAACAAGACAATCTTTATCGTAAAATGTTCGGTGGTCCTCTAGCAAGACGCCTCGAGCTTTCTCAAACAGAATATGTAATGAGAGAAATACACGAGGAACATTGTGGAAATCACGCAGGAGGAAGATCTTTAGTAAAAACCATGATTAGAGCCGGTTATTATTGGCCGAAAATGGAAGAAGACGCGGAAAATTTTGTGGCTAAATGTGATAAGCGCCAAAGATATGGTAACAACATGCATGGACCTGCTGAATTATTACACCCAGTCATTGCACCATGGCCCTTTATGAAATGGGGGATGGATATCGTGGGACCACTACCGCAAGCCAAAGGCAAGGTAAGATTTTTGCTCGTACGTACTGATTACTTTACTAAGTGGGTAGAAGCAGGAGCTTTTAAACAGGTACGAGAAAAAGAGGTTAGAGATTTCATTTGGCGAAACATCATATGACGATTTAGGGTACCAAAGGAAATCGTATGTGATAATGGCCCGCAATTTATAGGCACGCAAATCATAGAATTCTTTCAAAGTTGGCAAATTAAAAGGATAACTTCAACGCCTTACCATCCGGTGGGCAATGGGCAAGCTGAATCAACAAATAAAGTCATTATCAATAACTTGAAGAAAAGGTTGGAAGACTCTAAAGGCAAATGGCCAGAAGTGCTACCTGGGGTCTTATGGGCTTATCGAACAACCACAAAAATAAGTACGGGAGAAACACCATTTTCACTTGTATACGGAGCTGAAGCTTTAATTCCAGTTGAGATAGGGGAACCAAGCACGAGATATACACAAGCTACCGAGGAATCAAATGAAGAAGAGATACGAGTAAACCTGGATTTNATCAAATGAAGAAGAGATGCGAGTAAACCTGGATTTACTTGAAGAAAAGAGGGAAGCTGCGTTAATAAGGATGGCAGCACAAAAATAAGTTATGGAACGATATTATAACCGGAAGGCTCGTCTCAGATATTTTAAGATTGGGGATTTCGTACTTAAGAAAGTTTTCCAATCCACGAAGGCAGCTAATGCAGGAAAGTTAAGTCCAACTTGGGAAGGACCTTATAAGATTCATGGAATCGCAGGAAAAGGAGCATATGAGCTTGAAACATTGGATGGCAAGATTCTACCCTCAAATTGGAATGTTGTTCATTTGAAGAGATATTATTTCTAAAGGAAAGAAATACCCACGGGCAGAAATCCCTATTAATTATTTTTATTTTTTGAATTATTTAAATTTTACTAACGATTTTAGATGATAGGCAAAAAGCTAACCCGTACTAAATGATGAATTACGACCTGCAAGACACGCGGAAAGAACATAATTTCCGGTCTAGGGTTACAACTATTCTGATGGAAATTTAAAAGGGTTGAGCAGTCTTCATCTAAAATCGTACCTCCGAGTCCCGTTTGTTTTTCCTTTTCAGGAAAAGGACCGCATGGGAGGAATAATCAAGTGCTCGAGATTTTATACTTTAAAGCTCAAACACTTGGGGGACTATATAATATACATATGATATATGTATAAAGAAGGCAAAGAAGACTAACAAAGAAGACTGAAAATTTGCAGAACCAATCAGAAGATGCCATGCATCACAAGCATTAAATGGAAGTGACACATAAAGCATCAGTTCCAGAGAAGGTATAATGGCGGCAAAAATTCCCGCTTTAATGAGATCCACTTCCCAAATATTCTATTGATGAATAAATGGCAAGTGGGGGAACTATCTGTATTGGAAAAAATTAAATTAACATATCGAATTAATTATGGGGTGACATGTCGTGACACGTGGATTTATAAAGGAATACCAACTGGCAAAGAGCAGATGAAGAGGCACGAGCTTTAGCAGGCATGGGCAAAAATCCAAGAAAGCCAAAAGGAATAGGTGCTCGAACCTCTTGATATTCTGAAGAGGCATCAGAAGAATGAACCTAAATAGCAAAAAGGGTATAGATACGTATTATTGGAAATTAATAGGTATTAATTACAGAAAACGTTAAAGAATCTGTACTAAATCAGTTATGATTACCAATTATAACGTTACATTAAATGCTATTGATTATCCATAAAAACTCCATTATGAGAGGAGAAAAACGTATTACTTAGAAAAAGCTACAAAAGGTGAGGAATGAATTTTTGTAAAGACACGAAATACTATTAAAATATACTGATTTACTTTGCTTTCTATTCAGCTATTATTTACATCAATTATTCCTATTTCTACTTGATTATCAGTAACCCGAGTTCTTCTAAAATAAAGCTTTGATCGAAATCCCAATTTTTGGTTAAACAACTTGTACTTGAGAACTCTGCACAAAAAGGAATGTCGACATTTTCACAATATTTCTGGTCAAAAGAACATGTACTCGATATTAATGTAGTCAACATATATTCGCCTAGGTGACATGCCAACTAAGCAAGTCAGCATCCACATAGATAATACACACTTCCACGTGCCATCCACACGTTTCCACAAACTAAGAGCCTGTTTGGATGGGCTTGTTTTAAGTGACTTTTAAGCCAAAATAGCTTTTAAGCCATAAGTTAGGAATTCTAACTTTTTGCTTTGCTTGTTTTTGTCATTTTAGCTTAAAAACAAGTGCTTAAAAGCACTTTTTTACTTTATCCAAACACTATAAAATGACTTAAAAGTTATTTTAGCTTAAAGGCACTTAAAACAAGCCAATCCAAACGGGCTCTAAGATTTGTTTTGGCTCATTTATGCACACGTTTTATCTTTTTGGAATAAAAGGTTGAAACATTAAATATAGGCAATTGCTTGAGGCGAACACAGTAGTTTATGAAAGTGAAGGCAACAACCAATTACGCTGACAATGATTTTTTTGCTTTACGTTCTTTTTAAAGGACTTTGATGGTTTATACTGAAATCCCACTAGGATGGATAATAATCTTTTAACACTCGTGAGGCGGAGCTAGAGTGTTAAGTACG